TCTTATAAAAACTGCAAAATTTGTATGCACTAGCCATTTGGAAATTGCTATGTATTGCATTTTTAAAACATCAAATACAGTACATAAAGGTATAATTCACATATAGCAACCAGATTTCTAATCATGCATGGTTGCCTCAGAGAGGACTTTTCTGATTATCTTACCTGGGAGAGTTTTTTCATAAAACTCTCTGCTCCCAAGCTAATGATGCTCTGACGTCATCTCCTAGTTTAGTTTCTTCAAAGCACTAATCACTAGCTAAAATCATTCATTCATTTCTTTATCACCTGGCTCCCCAACTAAACAGAAAGTGCCAAGAGGGAAGAATCTTCTGCTTTGTTCACCAATGTACTGTTTCTGTCCAGAACAGTTTTCTGGCCCTGGGTACATGTTTAAAAAATACTCCTTGAATAAATGAAGAATGATATGAGAGGGGTTAGAGCAAATTGAATTTTTCCCATGAAACTAATATTGCAAAAATTAATTGAAAAAGCACACAACATTATATAAACTCTAAGTCTTATGTGTAAATTAAAATAAAGCTAGTGTTTCATTTTACTGTAGGGCAGTGGAACATTATATAACACATTATAAAGTCATACAAATCACCAAACCGAGTCTATAGTAAATGTTCATCAGTGGGAGAAACAAATCTAAGTGATTAGTTTAAAAAGAGGCTGATCCAGCTATCAAAGTTGTTTAAGTATGTAGGAATGGAGTAGACGCGTGGCATGGAATAGGAACGTAACCGCCACTATGATTTGAATGCAGAAGAGAGGCAGTTTCAAAGCTCAAGGGACAGAGGTTCTGGTTAATACCATGTAGCTTCAGAAGATTTACATGCTTAATTTTAAAACACAATGCTCTCTTAAGACATCTCAAATTCAAAGCAAAACATCAATGACACCACTAGTAATAAAGCTATGCGTTTGCACAATCATTGCTCAGCGTCACAACTTCTAATACTTCTTATTTTATTATTTCCTTCTTTAAAATTAAAATTACACTATTCAAATTAACTGTAACCTAAAATTAACTCTACAAGAAAATAACTTTTTTTGGTTTTTTGGTTGTTTGTTTGGTTTTTGAGAGAGGGTTTCACTGTGTAGTTCAGGTTGGCCTTGAACTCACTATGTAGCCCAAACTGGCGTCCAACTCACACTGATCTTACTGCCTCAGCCTCCCATATGCTGGGGTTACAGGCCTGTGCTACCATGCCCGGCAAGAAAATCACTTTAGTATCTTATTCACACCTTCAAGGATAAAATGTTTACAAATTCTTTCACTTATGTAGAATAAGATGTGTGAAGTGTAAAATGATGTTTGTTTTTATTATTCTCAAAGGTAGATTTATAGTAAATTTCTCAGAAGCCATTGTCACAATTTAGTTCACGGTATAAAATTGCAGAACAAAAATTTCTTTCGAATGTCACACAGGGCAGCTCATACATATTTCCCAATTGTGGAATTTAATGGGAGGGAATCCTGACGGAGGAAAATCTGATTCCTGTAATGGGAATGCATTAGAAATGTGATACTGGTTTTTTGCAAGATGTACATAATTCCAATCTAAATTAATAAAGCTAATTCATTTGTTTCAGTAGAAAATGATAAAAATAGATTTCATTAGGGTAATAGGAAACTTTCTCTCTAAATTGATTTTCTTCAAAAAATTTCTGTAGGAGTCATAACTCCTCCAGAAATGCTCTCAGGGGCTGATTGATACATGTAATAGTATTGCAAATGAGCAAACTAATAAATAAATAACAAATAAAACAAATAGCCAAGGGTAAATGTCCTAGTTCTATTCCCTCAAAATTTAGCAACAGCAAGTGTGGCTTTAGCCAAATATTCAGTACTTAATTTTGATCAGGAAATGTTCCTACTATTGTGGTTTTCTTTTAAAATCTGGTTTCTACCAAAAGAATAAAAATAAAAAAAAAAAACAGATCAAAGTAGGAAGCATGGAATTTTGTAGGCAACAGTACCTTCATTATCTTGTTAACTAGACAAATTTTTTAGAGGTGCACATATTTGACTGATCCTCAACTGTCAAATTACGTTGACATGAAAGATTTACAATAGCAAGGAGATGATGCTGTGACTAAGTCTGAAAATCTATAGCGCATCAAAGCATCAGATGTTCCTTCACCTGCACGGTCTGTACCTGCTTCTGAATCACTGGAGTAAATGTCAAAGTGAGCTGAAGTTCTACACCATAACTGTTTCTCTGAGTAGTCACATCACACAGCTGTTTGTTTTCCAAAGACTTGTACTTCCACTTTGGCCAGAATACCTGAGAAAGAATAAATACAAGTATCTAGGAGGTATATATCTTTAATATACAAAAGACTAATTGCTTAGTAAATGTCAGTGTCAAAACATACCCACACTATGGGTAGTTGGACTTTTCAAAGAAATTCGTGTACTTTTATGTACTAAACCTTCTTCAGGTGATACTGAAGTAACAGCCCCTTTTCCCCCAAAATAAGACATAGCCAGAAATAAGCAGCCTTAAAAACCACAGATCAGAAATGCCAGCCCACATCAGCCTATCCTACAGAGTAGCCATGGAGCAAGAGAGCAGTGATGGTGGGTAATTTACTGATCCCTATGCAGCATGAATACTTATAATTAATACTTATCACTGTCATGTATTAGTAAAGCTGGAACCTGAATTAAGACAAGCTGTGTCCATAGTCCAAGTTTAAGAACTCTGCTATACTGCTCTATACTACCTTTGTATCACAAAGTCTGGCCAACTAGAAATCTGTAAGTCATTTGTTTACAACTCACTTTTTCTTAAATCAACAGTTGGAAGAGATAAGATAATACTAGTATTACATTATTGGCTATCATAGAAGTAGCATTATTCTAGAAAACCTAATCACCAATCCTTTATACCTTACCAAGAACTACTTTAATAATACTTTCTTGGGAAAAACTTACACTGAAATGGAAACTTCTTTTTGTGGTAGGAGTAATAAGAAAAGGGCATAAGGGTATACAGCACATGGTTAGTACTCTCTCTTGCTACATATTTATATTTATCTATATATGATTGTGCATGTGTATTTTTTTGCAAAGCTGGTACATGCAATGATGGCGGATAGATGGTTCAATGAAAGTGCACATGTCTTGACAATTATAAGCCTGGTAAGAAGGAAAACTGACAGAGAACTGAAAATTCTACTATAAAGCAAAAAATTGTAATAGCCGAGTGGTCATTTCCAAAATATTCATTGAATTCTTCAAAGTGGCAAAGTTTTACTCTAGGCAATAGCAATACAACAGTTAAGAAATCAAATATGATATTTGCTATCATGATGCTTACATTCTAATGTGAGGCATAAAACACTAAGCAAACTACATAATTATTTTATGAACACTGTGAACACGATTGAAATATCTGTGCAATGGAAGTACACAAGTATATATTCAAAGCACAAGCAGGAAAGATATTTGAGTTGATTTTTAAAGGAAAAGGACTGAAATGTTGTTGATAGGGAATGGGAGGCTCAGAATTCCAAGGCAGTACATGGAACAACTGAGCGAAGTCTTGGATGGACTACAGTATGTCCAAGAACTGAAAAGATGAGCACTACCAAATGCGGATGAACAAGGACAGAGGCCTTGAATACAGCTGGTGTGGAAAGCAGGGGCAAAAAGCATGCAGGGTCACAGAAATTGTGCTAATTTTTTTCTTTATCCTAATAATTACAGAATACCATTAAAGGGTCTTAAGCACCCACCTGAATATAGAAAATTCTACAGGTTGATATTAGAGAATATTGGCTTGGTGACTGTAAATACAGGCTCTTGAAGAAATTATTAATCTTCTGGCTGAGTTTCCTTCTGCACAAACTGGGTTCAGACTAGATGAACACTAGGGATCCCTAAAGCTCAAAAACTACAAGTGCATCTCTGTATTCAAAGCCAGATGTCACATACAGGCCACTGATTGCTTGATGAACTTTTCCCACATCTAGAAATGAACCCCTTTTAGATCCAATTATGAGCCATAATTTAACCTATATAATGGTGAGAATTTTAGAGATGCATTATCTCAAAGGATTCAAAAGCCTTCTTTGGGAAGCGGAGGAAGAAGGTAGTGGTAACCAGATGCAAAATAAGAATGATCAATATGTACAAGGATGTGAAGATTAGGCTCAAGAGGAGGAAATTCAGCTCACTGGGAACTTAGGGGCAGCAAGTAGCAGTCACAAGAAGCTTAGGGGTGGGAAGGGATCAGCAAGCTCCTCTTGCGTCAGTACCTTCCCAGCTCCCTTCCCCTATCATTTTTGACAGGCATCGTTGACGTTCTTCAAGTTTACGTAATATACTATGCACAGTTTCAAGATTTGCTCCAATTAAACCCTTTCCATTAAAACTCTGGAGCCTCGAGTGAAGGCTAAACACCTGAAGGACCAGACTTGTGTGTCCCTGCGAGTGAGAGAGGAGCAGGCAGAAGGAATTCACTGGGTCACAGAATTCCAAAGCCACTGGGTTACTGAATGCTACATGGAGATCAATTCTCAAGCATGCTCCTGATTTTACAGAGGAAACAGAAATCTTCGAGTGAGGTGCTATCCCATGGTGACCCTAAGCGGTGGAGTTCAGCCATAGCTCGGTGTCTCTTCCATGACCCTCGAAGGACTCGCGTCTCCCTTCCTTGGGGACCCGCAGGTCTTGCAGGACCGGGGCCTGCATAGGAGACTGGATCCTGGAGCCTCACCAGGCCTGGCGCTTGTCAACTCCGAATCGTGCTGTTTCCTTCCCCGCCACGGGTAGGGGACGAGTCGAACTGGGGCTCTAAACAGGAGCTCTCTTTGACTCCTCCTCCCTGCTTGCATCCTTGCAGGGCTCTCCCGAGAGCAGGGAGACACTAGCAGCGGGATACAAATTTCGCGCGGGCCGCGTTGAGGCGAGAGGAATAGAGGAACGGACCGGAAGTGGCGGTTGTCATAGCGACTGAGGTGTTCTGCCTCTGCCCCGGTTTATCCTCCTCCCAATACTCCCGCTGTGTTTTTACGAGGCCAGGAAAACAGAACGAGGAAGTGGTGACGCATTGGTCCCCCACAAATACCACCAGAAGCTATCACGACTCTGTTGGCCAGTCAGCTTGGGAGAGGACCAGACCGGAAATGGCAGTTTCTATGGTAACCCCAGAGCGGGTTGCCTGGGAGATGACCCCCTTTGGTCTCTTTGAATCTCTGCGGTAGCTTCACCTCAAGACACATCTAACATCTTTGCCTGTCTCCTGCCATGATTCCAGGGAAATACCGCTCTGTTTCTGGCCGGTCTGCAAACAACGTAGGTTGAGCTTTCCTACTTTCTTTTTCTACCCTTTGGTGCTGTCCTTTGCGACTGGCTTCTTTGTCTTAGGTGATGGGTTGTATTACTGGGACCAAGTCTATTCAAGCTGTTTGACCTAGGCTTGAAGTTCATGGGCGGAACAAGGCCCTTGGGGCACATTTAATTTTGTACGATGAGCATCCAGCCTTGTTCTGGATCTGGGCTCCCAGAAGGTGGAGCTGGTCTTCTGCGAGAGGCCCAGGGTCATTTAAATTCCTTTAACTAGTGAATTCCATTTTCTTTTCTTTTTAATTAGTTGAGAATAACCTATTGTTAGGCATTCGTACCTCCTTCACCCGTCCCATTGATTTATGTATTTAGACTTGAAACTGCAAGTGTCAAAAGCCTGAGGTAGCACGAGGAGTGCCGACATTTTGAGAAAAATAAATGAATGAAACCTTTTGATTCTTACATGTGATTTTATTGATTTCAGCGAACCCTCAGAACATGATCATTTACCAGAAACAAACAAAGAGAGGCAGCCTGTTGCATTCTCATTTTTTATTATATGGTTACCTGTATCATGGGGGGAGATGCCTGTATATGTACAAAGGCCAAGAGCACATTTTATGGTTTCTTTTTATATTTCAGGTGAATTGTGGGCTTCATCTTGTTATTCAAACATCATCACTTCCTGAAAAAAACAAGGTAAGATTTAAGCCTATTGGTGTTTAAATTGAAAATAAATTCTTATAAATTCTACACAAATAACATGATTTAAGGAGTAGATTCTGAACTGGAAACTCTGAGTATACTTACTTTGCTCTCCGGTGTAAAGCTGATTTTTATTTGCTGCCTGCCTAAAGTCAAAATTAGCTCTCTTTAAAACAATGTCATTTCATTGCTTACAAGAGGGAAGGTTTTTGGCATTTAAGTATTTTTGAAATGAAAATCCTTCTTAGAATTGGTGGCATGATCAAAGTTTAATGGGGCTTACTACTGATGGTATCTTAGGACAGATAAAATATAGACATTTGGGAGTGTATGACTACACATTCCATTTAAAAGCAAGGAAGAAAAACTAGGTTAGCAGTGGAAAGATTTTAGGTTTAATATTATTCAGAGTGCTTCCATGTGATGAACGCAAGATTCTTTTTTCCCATGACATCTCTGGCATTTCCAGAATTCTTGGCTTTTTATTTGTTTTTGAGATTTTGAGACAAATGTTTTTCTTACTCTCTTGTCTCAATTCAGCATGCAAACGTACTCACCAAACACTTATATAACTACGTCTCAGGACACAACACAGTGTTTCCTCCTTTGGCAAAACTGGAGACTTCCAACTATCACACTTCAGTTATTTATGAAAATGTTAAATATAAGTCCCTGGAGGAATGCTAAAGTAAAGAGCAGAGTTTAAGGTAAAAACATGAAAAACGTAATAAGGATGGTGAGTGGAAGGGCTATTGGTCAAGCAGGTAGCAGCTGATTACACTGTAATTATATGTATGTATAAAAGTGGACACTTGGAATACAGACCATTTGATCATTTCTAGTAAACATCACTTAGCTAGATTAATTGAAAAATATTCCTTATTATAATTGGGCATAATGGAGTCCCCTCCAGATATGTCCTAATTTTCACTGGACAAATCCTATTTCTACCATTATAATATTTCTAGGAATTTTTCTGTTTCATCCAAATCATATCCAGTCCTGTTCTACTTTCTTTCTCTGGGCTTATGTTCAGGGAAAATACTGTTACCTCATACAGATTATAAGAGTATAACGAAAATGCTAAAGTTGTGCTTAAACTATGGATGAAGGAGAGGCATAATGATTCTTTTAAAATAAGCACTTAAAGATTTTTTGTGGATAATCTTTATATATATATTTATTAATACATGTTTGCAGAACATAGTGATCACATTACTCATGAAGGATTTGTACATGTGAATAACACCTCTTAATTCTTTCTTTTCCCCTTCTCTTCTCCTTCCAACCCTTCTCCTCCCCATTTGCAAAAACTCTATTTCCACTTTTCCTTTAATCTTTTTCTTTAAATCCCTTTCTCCTCTTTCCCTCCCCTCTTCCTCATCTCTTGTTCCCCTTCCCACTTGAACTTCCCCGAGTTCATCCTACTTCCTAATTTCTGCCCTCTATTTTGCTCCTTATTTATACTTTGGGTTTCTGACATGGAAGGAACAATGCAATATTTAAACTTGTGTGTGATTTATTTCACTTAGGATTGTGGTCTCAAGGTGCATCCATTTATCTAAAAAAGCCTCAAGTTTATTTTTATTTATGGCACAGTAGTATTCCATTGTAATTTCCAATACAATTTTTTCAGTACACATGCTGTCCTGGGCCACATTTTGTAGGTACTTAGTTTCTGGTAAAGGTAGAATTTTTCACATTGTTCAGCTCTGTATTTTATTTTTATTTTTTCTGACTTTTTACTTTATAAAGAAAATTTTGAAACTTTAAAATAATAGCTGGGTGGCATACCTGTAATCCCAGCACTCAGGAGGCTGAGGCAAGAGGATTGTTGCAAGTTTGAGGCCAGCCTGTGTTACAAAGTGAGCTGAAGGTCAGCCTGAACTGCATAGGGAGACCCTGTCTCAAGAAGACACACACACACACAAAAAAAAAACCCTAAAATACCATAATAAGAGAATAATAATAGTTAATATACTCTGCATCATAATCTTTTTTTGGTGTGGCAATTATTTTAATTTTTTATTTTAAAGAGAAAAAAGAAGACAAATGATGATACGAAATTTCAAAACAAGATAATAGGAGAGTAACCATGGTTAATGCATTGTGTATTATTATCTTCAAAGTAGATTACAAGATATAGGCATGAAAAATAGGTCAAACAAAATTGTGGGTAATCATCTTGTTTTGATTTTGTTTTTCTTAGTCCTACCGGATAATTATTTAAAATCAGTTTTCTGAGAGTCCTTCTTTGAAGGTTTAAGGATACAACTTAGTATGTTATAGTTATAATTATGTTTTAATTGGACATTTAATAGAATTCTAATGATCAAACCATAATGATTTTTTCCCAACCTGATTTTCTTTGTATGTGTTGAGCAAATGACTGAGAAAATGATTCTTTTAATCATTGTATTTATGGTGGTGATGTGGAGAGGTTGACTGGAAGTGTCTTAGATTAATGTGTGTTTTCACCTGATTTCATGTAATTGACTTTCATCTTATGTGTGGTAAAATACATATAAAATTTTTCCAACTTAAGCCATTCTAATGTATACAACTCAATGGCATTATGTACATTCATGATGTTGCGTGAACATCATTTCTATCTAGGCGCTCCAAACAGAATGTCACATCCATTAAGCCATTGCTCCCTATCCTTCCCTTACCCCAAATACCAGGAAGCCACAGATAGGCTTCCCATCCTTATGGGTTTTCCTATTGAAGGTACTTCATATCAATGGAGACATATGATATGTGGTCCTTATGCTTGACTTCTTTCATTTAAAATGATGTTTTCAAGATTCATCCACGTGGTGGCATGTTCTCAATTATTATTTGTTATATTTATTTTCATTATTTACTGCTAAATTATTCTCTAATTTTTTAAAATAATATTTTTCAGGTTGAATTCAAATTTAACAGAGATTCACCATCATTTCCTGGTAGACTCTTACAACATGACCTTGAAAGAAACTACTCAAGTAGGCAAGGTAATATCAGTGAGTAGAGATCTGACATAGTTCATCATCTCTGAATATTAATTGTTTAATAGTGCTCAGTTACTTAATCTAAATAAACTGGATTTAGAAATGGTTCATTGATTACCAAATTAGTTTGGTATCTGTTTAGGTCAGAAATGGTTTCATACATATAGTAGATTTTAGGTGGAAGGCAGGTTACATTAGAGAACGGGAAAAGAGTATTCCAAATATTATATTAGAATTTGGGAAATGGCTAATTAGTGAGACAGTATAGGGACGTAAATATTTAGGAAGTAAGGAAACGGTGGAAAAAATTGAAAGTCAAGAATAAGAAAGAAACCATCTTTTTCCTTACTAGCACATATGACTACAGGTATCAAAAGCCTTAAACAATTGTAGGTATCACTTGGGTTTTTGTTAAGAATGCAGATTCTTCAAGCTCACCCTCCAGCTTCCCCATTCTGACATTGCAGGGCTGGACTAGGATTTAGAATTGTGCATTTTAATAGTGCCACAAGTGGTTCTTGTAGATGTAGTCTGTGGACCATCCTTCGAAAAATACTGCCCCATAGGAGCTGGTTATATTTCTGAAATATATTTTTTACATCAAGGAAAAATTCCTCTATGCACACTTGAATCTTGGTCATTCACTATCTGTGATATGCTAGTGTTACACACTACAGAATTCTTATATACAGCACTGCCTCTACCTCCTAGGAGTCTGTGTAAAAGGAATGATACACTGTACATCACATCACCGTGGGAACATGAGGTGCTTCTGAATATTGATTAACACTGTCTTTTTGTTTGGTACTTCTGGGCCTTCTTCTTGAGGCCGTCTTTTCTCTTCCCTATATCTTACACTCTTACCTTGGCTATTTGCCGGGCCGTTCCATAGTGCAGGAAGCATTGTCTTGCCTTCTTTATTGAGTTCAGTATGTATTTATAGGATGTGTGCTGTGTGCTCAGCACTGTTTTAGGGCACAGAGCTATAGATGTAAACAGGGAAATTCCCTACGAGGGATTATTTTTTAATGCTTGCAGTGTCAATTACCCTCACAATTTAAATAATAGATTTTATTTTTCTCCTTTAAATCATGAATCAGGCTTAAATACTTTACCCCAGCTTTCCTTGAGTTAGAGTAGAGCATTAGCATACAGATTTGTGGATGGTTGGCTAGGTAAATTTATTTAAGTGGTTAAGTATTTCTAGATATATGCTAATGAGGCAATAGTACGGATGTATTGATTTTGTGAATCTTAGATGAATACAGCTTTATATGTCAATAATGAACCACACTAGATAAATTAAAAATAAATTTAGGGAAGAATAAACCTGTTTGGTTTTTCCTCCAAAGGTTTTATTCAAAATCTCTGGATAGGATAGGATAGGATAGGATAGGATAGGATAGGATAGGATAGGATAGGATAGGATAGGATAGGATAGGATAGGACAGGGTATTCATTTACTATGTCCTAACTGCATACTTGGCAGTGTGACTTCTCCATAGTTTTAGCTGCTTCATGCAAAGAAGGCCACACAGCTTACAACTTAGCTCAGTTTGTGTACTCAGTGTTCTATCTCCAAGGGCACAAAACTTTGGAAAAAGTCTAAGTATCATTTTATTGGGAAAAGTTTGGGGACTTCTATCCAATAACCTGCACTCTGATACACTCTGATACCCAACCATTATAAATAATTTCATAGCTTTCAAAATTAATCGAGCATATCACAACCCATCAATCTGATCTTTTATTTACACTTATTAAAGTCTAAAACTTGATCTGTTATTTCTTTTAGGCCTTTTTTTTTTCTTTTTCTTAAGAGTTAACCCTTGTATCCCTGAAATTTTGTAAGAGCCAATTATTCCAGAAAATACTATATAATAAAATCTCAGTTAATCTAACCTTAATTGATTAAATTCCCTAGATAAGAATTTTAAAATACTGGGTGGAGGGGAAGAAGCAACTCTTGGCTCCTAAGATTACAGTAAATCACTAGAAAATGTAAGATCAGGATTTTGGTCATCAAACAATCTCCAAGATAAGGCCAAGTGGCCACACATATACCACTGCACCATACAGCCAACCCCCTATTTGACTGTGTACACATTTATGTATCCATCCACTCATCCATCCACCCATATATCTAGACTACAATGCAGGGAACATTCTTAACAATTGCAGACCATTATGCCTCTTAACACTCTTGAGATCCTACTTACCAAATAAATCATTTAGCACTTTATACTAAAATGTAATAATTTCTGATTTTCTTTTTAATAGAAATAACACACACACACACACACACAAAATGTGCCCTAGTAAGCTGGAAAAACAATTGATTTATCTACTTGGTTGTCTACTGAATTTAGATTCTACCAAGAATATAAGGAATGTAAAATGAGGTCCATCTTTCAAAAAGCTTATAAATTTAATTAGAAAGACAAGGACTATGTATCTGGTAAGTTAAATAGTGATATAAGAAATCAACAATAACAGAGGAAATGTTTCAAGTAAAATTTTGAAATATAGTGGTATAGTTTATATATGTGTCTTTATTAACCAACATATATAAGTGGATGTTTTAACTAAAGAGTCTCCTTGTCCCCAGTTAGTTAGAGGATCTCATGTGTGGATTTTAAGTCCTTTTTAATCGAATCATTTTTGTCTCTTGCTATTTATTGTAAGGTGTAGCTCACACAGAGTGAGCTCATCATGCTGGTAGTGATTATGACTTCTATATATAATAGGAGCTGAAAAGTAAGCATAAAATGTGTTTCTTCACTGGTGTGAATGCAAGCTGTTCTTTGATTTTTTTGCCTCTATATCCCAAGTCTTTTAAAGTTTAAGCCTGCTCTTAAATTGAGTATTAATTAGCTTGAAGTCTTAACAAAATAATTTGAAAAGCTAGGCGTGGTGGCACATGCCTGTAATTCTAGCACTCAGGAGGATGAAGCAGGAGAATTGTTACAAGTTCAAGATCAGCCTGGGCTACAAAGTGAGCTCAAGGCCACCCGGAACTGCATAGCAAGACCTTGCCTCAAAAAGACCAAATAATAATGATAATAATAATAATAATAATAATAATAATTTTAAAAATCTGACTCTAATGTTAATAAGAGAAATTGAAGTTATCTATTGTTTTGAGCTTTCCCTTTATCATCTTTAGCTGACCAGTTATGTTGACTCTGTTAATGTGTATAGTGTAGTTAATCCTTAGACTTTTTGTTTGACTGTTTTTACCAACTGACTTTTCACTCCAAATCCATTTACTGAATTGTGGTTGCTGGGTATCCTGCTAGCAGGTGGTCGCTCCATAGGATCACTTTACTGGGAACATGGTGTCAATTCTAGACCATCATTATTAGTTGTCTTGATAGTCTGTGCTGTTCACAAAAGCAGAATGTAAGCACTGATTAAGCTAGGTGTGAGATACTTTGGTTCAGGCCTTGCAGACCTGAAGAAGCTAGCAAATCTCATTCCTTTACACTTTTTAATCTTTTTAATCTGTGGGGAACTTCATGTTAAATTGTTAGCATATTGTCTGATGGCCTCCTGCCGAGCATGTTAGCTTCCTAGATTTGGTTTTCTTCTTTTCAGTGTATTGGTTCATTTAAGTGACGGAATTCTCTAGTAGCTTTGTGTTCTACTTGATTGCTTATTTCTCCCTTCAGCGACTTTGACATCAGTTGCTGCTTTCAGTAAATTTTCTCTTTATAGAGGGAAATGGAAGATTTCATCTGTTATTCAAATTGTCACCTTTGACCTGTTATTCAAATCTCACCTCATTTTCTGGAGCTTTTTACCATTTCTTCTTGACTTTTCTACATTCTTCTAGTAATTCAAAGTGTATTTTAGTATATGCCTCTCCCCTAATTCATCTATAACCATCTTCATTAAGAAGGTAGTCCCACCGTACTTTTATGCAAATATATAATTCTTTTTTATTCTGCATTTTGTACATATTGTTCTTTTTAATTAATTCCATATACATTTGCCAACTAGATCCAAAGCTTCTTTCTGTCAAGGACATCATGTATTCAAGAGCTTATAAACCCCATGAGGCTGTCATATAGACACCCTATGAGTGCAATAGATTTATTGACATCCACTTTTCAATATTCTCTACTAATAGTATCTTTGCAGTATTTTCTACTAGTAGTAGCTAAACACATAGAGAAAAAGTGATGGCGTGAGGTTTACATCTATTATCCAAAACTACTTTCTATATATTTCCTATAGAAAAGTCATGTATTATGTAGCTTTGTGATAAACTTTTTGATATTTTGAAGGAGATGGAAGAGTAATAAGCCCTTCGCCTCGTAATAAATCATCATGCATCTCATCCACAACAAACCTGACAGAACTATATGGGCTGGAAATGAAAGCTGCCACAAGCTCCTTATCAGCATTTGGAGATTCTTCCATTCAGACACCTTCCAAGTCCAGAATCCGGCAGGGCTGTCATAGTGCTGGCCCAAATATATCTGGTAATGAGGGACTATCATCTCAGTTATAAGAGTTAAAATTTACTCTTAGAAGTCAGGATTATCAAGGGATGAAGGTAGCACTAGAGTAGTTGTATATTTTCAACTCATTTGTAAGGCAAGGGAAAGATTTGGCATACAAAGAACACATAGTCTAGGTTCGAGAAGGAAAGAAGCAACCCCAAATTTAATAACTAATTTCAAATATAGAAAGCTCTGGGAACTCCTAAGAAAGATATTTATAGGTACCAGTGTTGCCCAAATATAAGGTGATTTTATAATTTTGAGATTTCAAACATTTGTCTGAATCAAATAATTTGTATGTCCTTTTCAATAGGTGATCATATTAATTTGGTGAGCTCATCAATGCCATCATTTCCTATTCTTCAGCGTTCTTCTGAAGAGAAAATTCTTTACTCAGACAGGTTGACCCTAGAAAGGTGAGGACAATTTCTTTTCTTTTTTTGACTATGTTACACATAGACATGGTGTAAGATTTGAAAGATGTGAATTTCCCTCCTTCCTTGCTCTTATTCCCCAGCTATCCAGTTCTCTGGCTTAAATATAATCACTTTTACCATAGTTCTGTTGATCCTTTCAGAGGTATGATGAGGAATTTTATACTTACATGTGAAAGGACTTGACTATATCTCAGTATAATAGCTATTTTATTTTATTTTATTTTATTAGTACATGCTTGCAGTATGTAATGTTTACATTCACCTTAGGGGAGAGTAGGTACATAAACTTAACAGCTCTTCTTTTTAATCCTTTTCCCTTTCTCTTCCCTTCCCCATCTTTAGACATATACTGATTACATCCTCTGTATGGTACATGTCACTACATATCCTAGTTCTTTCCATGTCCCTTCCCCTCCCCCTTTCTATTTGCAAAAGATATATTTTTCTGTTTCCCTTCATCTGTCTTTTATTTTGCTCTATATTTCATTTATACTTTGAATCTCTCATATGAGAGAAACCATACTATGGCAACTTTAAAATATGACCATGTTAGCTTTGCATTACTGTAACAAGATGCCTGAGACAAACAGCTTAAAGGGAGGATGTGTATTTTGGCTGACGGTTCAGAAGTTTTCAGTCTGTAATCAGTTGGTTCCACTGCTTTTGGCCCTGTGGCAAGGCAGCATGTTGTGGTGGGAGTACATGGTAGTACAAGCTATTGCCTTCTGGAGGCCAAGAAGCAAAAGAGAGAGAAACAGGAAGAAGATGGGGTCTTAGTATCCCTTCCAAGGACACACTCCCAAAGACCTAAGGTCTCCCACTAAGACCCCCACTGCCCGTGGGCTCCACCACCTCTCAATAGCTCCTTAAGCTGGGGACCAAGTCTTTAACACATGGGCCTTTGAGGGGACACTTATCCAAACAACAGCAGTGCCACTGATGAGAAAATGCTTACAATGTGGTCCTTATATGGGCTCCTTGGGCCCCCAGTCTAGTTCCCTGTTGCTTCCCTGGCCTTTTCTCTTCCTGTGCATTCTTCCTCTCAGTCTGCCTCAGCCACTCCCACCTCCTGGCTGTTCCTCAGTATACCATGCATACCTATACCCCAGGGCTTTTGTATCTGCTGCTCCCTTTCCCAGGGACACAGCTCCCCCAGTCTCTGTGGGCTCAGCCCCTAACCCCTTCAAGTCTTTACTTGGGTGCCATCATCTCAGGGATGACTTTCTCTGGCCACCTCCAAAAGTATATCTCCTTTCACCCTGACACTCCTCAGCCCCCTTCTCTGCTTTATTCTTCTTCTTAGTACCTACCATCCTCTAACATATTAAATATTTACTTATAGTTGTGTGTCTCCTGCTAGACCCTATGCTCCATGAACACTGGGATTTTTGCTCAGTTCAGTATACCTGGCACCTAGAACAGAGCATGGTACAGAATAAGCTCTTGATAAAAAAAATTGTGAATGAATGACTATATTTAGGACTGATTCCCAACTTTATATCTAAGAAGTTATCCAGGATAGAATGGCAGAGGCAGGATCCACCCCCTGACCTGGTAGTATAACCACCAGAGAAAACACCTCTGCTGTACATAGCTTTGGCTTAGCACTGCACACCCAACAATAAGTTGTAAGAGTCCACGTATGTAGTTGGGAAAAAGTCCTCAGAGGTCTGACGTGGTGTTTTGCAGGCAAAATTATACATCAGAACAGTATTGCAGGACTGATGGGTTTGGGGATTCTAAGTTGTAGTTTGGGGTGACTGGTAGTTGCAAAGATGATCCTTAGCAACATGGGCCCCTGGGCAGGTGACACAAACATTGATCAGGTGGAGACTTGCTTATCAAAAAAGACAGGACAGAGGAGACTGACTTCAGAAGCCTGTGTGAAAAAGCTGTACCACAAAGATGCTGTAAGCTTGGGCACAATTTAACCAGGACCAGGATGTGCAGTCAAGGAAGTTGGGTGGGCTGGCAGCATGGGAGTAATTTAGGAATCTTTGAGCGCCCGTGGGTAACAGCGGTGATTTCTGCCACCCTGTGTGGCTTCTTAGCCAGTATGGTGGTGGTGGGAGATGTCAAGAGTAGATGCGAGCTTGAGAAGGAAGGCTTGGAAGAGCTAGACCCTGGCAGTTCTAGGAGTTGAGGTTGGGATGTTCTGGGAGTTGAGGATACTGGAAGTATCCATTATAAGCATATAATTTAGTGAATGGAATGAATTCTAAGTATTACCTATTTGTTAGGAGCATTAAACTATCATCTAATATTTTAAACATTTATTTTAAACCAATTTCTTTAGTTGATTTTTTAAACATTATATTTTCATCAACCATTAACATTCATTTATTTTTTTTTGCTAATAATTTTTTTAGGAGAATTCTGATCACTCTCATGGTTTGACTTGTGCTTGGAGCCCTGATTTATTTTCTGTAAAGCTTATACATTAACTTGTTTTTTACTGACAGGAAATATTTCTAATAAGCTTCTCTGTTAGAGTTGTCCACACACAGAGATGTATTTTCCTTGAAGACTCCTATGAACCTCTCAGAATAGCAGCACTCAGTACTTCCTCTCTGGCACTATTATCATACTGGTAGAATGTACTTACAGGGCCTTTACTTTTTTACTTCACATGTGATGTAACCTTTGCTTACAAGAGGCTTACTGTTTTAAGTGCAGCTGAAAATATACATTACTAATGTTTCATCCTCCCCTGGAGCACTCTAAATACCCTAAGAGTTCAAAGTTAGTGCTGAACATGTCCACCTGACACCTAAGCTTCTGAGGAAATGTTTTATTAGGGCTACCTTACCATTATGGGACTTAACATGCAATTTTTCATTTCATCAAAGTGAACTATAGATAGCTGAATTTCTTGCAGTTGTGAACACCTCTTCTAACTCATGAGCTTGTGATTCTAAAGGAGATACTTTTATATAGTTTTTGCTCTGATGACCTGGTTGCCTGTCAGTCTTTTACATCAATGCACTGATGCCGAAGGCACTTCTCTGGTTATATGATATGGTTCTTTGGATCATCTAAAGCTTTACTACAGAAAACAATTACATTTAAAGTCTTCTGATGTTAAGTCAATATCATTGAAACAATTGACATTGGAGATTTACTTAATATAACAAGGGATTGGATCTAATTTTAATGATTCCCCTTGTCAAAGACTATTATCCTTTTATGCGTGATATAAAATGTAATACAGGTCACATAGTACATGGGAGTTGGAAGTGGTCTAATGTATCACTTACTTCTCAAAACAGAGGAGCACAAAGATACCATTACTACTGTTTGAAAGTTGAGGTAGGCTGCTGAACCCGAATTGCACTGACTTGTTAAATTTTTCTAGGCAAAAGCTGACCGTATGCCCTATCATCGATGGAGAAGAACATCTTCGCTTGTTGAACTTTCAACACAATTTTATAACTCGGATCCAAAATATTTCTAATCTGCAGAGGTTAATATTTTTGGATTTGTATGATAATCAGATTGAAGAAATTAGCGGGCTTTCTACTCTGAGATCCCTCCGTGTGCTTCTGTTGGGGAAAAACAGGTATTGTTTGGAAAGCAGTTTTGTTTCTAGCCTAATATACGTAAGGACTAATGTAGAGTCCTCCGCTGTTTTGATGGCAACTCAGAATTAAATAATATCTCCCCCCCTCCCTGGTACCTGGGATCGAACTCACGACCTTGCACGACAGGCAGGCGCTGTGCCACTGAGCTAAATCCCCAGCCCCAGAATTAAATAAAATCATATGAACTTTTAGGCAAATTCTTGAAAGATTATTTGAATGGATTAAGATTCATTTCATGAGTTATTTTATGAGATTCAGCCTGGCAGTCTGGCAAACCCTATAACAGTTATTGAGTATTTTACTTATATTGCTTTCCAGTGCATATCTTACATGGCCAACTTTGGCCTTAACTTTATGTTTTTTTAGGACATATTTTAAGCATGTGCATTCACGTTAGGCTTGTGTGTTTCACTTGCCACTCTCGGTGTTTGACCAAGTGTACACAGTGGCTACTTTGTGGTTGTGAGATCAATGATTCTTTTCCGATGGTAGCTTTAGTAGGGCTGTGCAGTATTATACCCTGTATGTGTACTTCTCCGGTTCCTTGCATACAGCTGTGTGACACAATGTGGCACCGCAATGGCTGGGTCATTTCTTTGAGGTTTATTTTTGCCTTTTCATTCTGTTTTATTGACTAGGTTTTGCAATGGCTACGAAGAGGAGCTGTGTTAACAAAGTTTAAAAATGAGTAATATCTTTTCTTCATTCATTGCACGGTTCATAACTGACACCCAGATTATAAAGACTGATTTCAATGAACATGTTTCATAACATGTTCATTCAGTATAAATATTTAGTATATGGTAAAGTCGTTCACAGAAATGAAGACCCCTCAAGAAATAGGGAAAACTGTTTATTTTTAAGTTCAGTGAGAAGTGGAAAGTCACGTAGAAGTATTATTGGACAAAAGGAAGGGATAGATCTAATGGCAATGAACTGGAGGGACACTTAGTAAGGCCTGTTTGTTCAGATTGTCCTTGGTATTTCCATGCCTGCAGTCCTTTTTCCTGCTGTAGAACAGGACTCATCTGGATTGAGGGTTTTATGACACACTTTCGGGAAGATAGGTCAGAAATTTTTTCCTGTTGCCTTAGGGAAGAAAGACAGGAAAATGTTAGAGAATGACCTTTCTGCTTCTCCAGTTTCTCAGTTTTCTTCATTTAAAATTATTCAATATGCCACTTGGGGTGGTGGCACATGCTTGTAATTCAGTACTTGGGAGGTTGAGACAGGAAGATCGCCATGAGTTTAAGGCCAGCCTGGGCTACACAGTGAGTTCAAGGCCAGCCTAAACTGCATAGCAAGACCCTGTCTCAGGAAACAAAACAGAACAAAAAACCCTGACCAACCACATTATTCAGTGTGCCAACGTGCCATATTTTGGGATATTGTGTTCTTAACTTGGCACCCTTTATTCCTATTGCCCAGTGATAATTAAAGATACTTTTCCAAGGGTCATGCCCCAGAATTTAGAAATCTTATTTTTCCTTTGCAGTTACTCTGAAAGTTCCCATCAGTGTAGTTCATTGCCCACAATTAGCTCAAGTGTTAGATTGATCATTACAGAGCTGAGAGAATTTGGAGGGAAATTATAGAGTCATAGAGTATTAGAGCTTAATGGGATCTCAGAGACCAGCTCTCTCTTTTTATCAGTGTGGAAATGGAGTGGTCAGGTGAACTGTGCCAAGGCAGGTATTACAAACTACACCATAGCACATTCCTTCATGGCCATTCCCTGAGCGAAGGGAGGAGGGAATTAACTTGTCATGTACTTAAGCCTTTCTCTTCTAGGTGTCCCTGTTACTGTCCCAGACATCTTGTTCCTGCTCTCTGATCATCAGTTATTGATTTCTTTGTCTAGTTTATATTTATTCTTTAGTACCACTAGCTTTATGTCTTCCTCTTATGCCTTGAGTCAAGATATTTTTTAGAGCTTTTCATCTCTTTTTTTGGTTTTAAACAGCATCTCAGAGGTGGTCTTGGTTCCAGCCATTTAAAATTATGACTCCATTTATTTTTTTATTCCTGAATCTACTTTTCAGTCTCTCTGGCTTCTCAGAAGTAACATGTTTGTTTTGATACTTTGTACCTAGGAGACAGTAGTCTAGCTGTCTGTATTTAATTAAGGTCTCTTCCAACTGTAAGAAACATAATGCCTTCTATTATATCCTTATCTTGGTGAAGTAAAAGCAGAATAATGCTAACTCTTCTGTCTACCTCTCCATCTTTTTATTTTTAAATGTTGTAGTTTAGTTTCACACAAAGAGAGTAAATGTTGCTTCAAGAAAGTAAATGCTGGTCAAGAAATGTTAGTGTTCTGAAGTATTGAGTGTTTCTGAAGGATCCATAAAATGTGACTCTGATCCCTAACACATCTGCCAAGAGCTCTCTGGCCAGCTGTCACAGCAAGGGGCCTGCGAGCTTTGAGGAAGCAGAGCTATTCTGTGGCAGTACTTTAGTAAGCATTGGGCAAACCTGCCTGGGAATGCACTTCTGTCACCTTGTCTTCTCATGTGTTTCTCTTGGGTGACTCACTTGCTCACAGTGATTGGGTTCATAAAGCTCTCTCCCTCCCACATTGCAAAGCAGTGCCCCATCGTTTAGTCCAGGACAGTGGAAAGCCAAACCAACCTCAAGCCTCTAAGCAGCTCCCAACAAAGATTTCTCCTCTAAAGCTCGGAAGACCCCTGGTAAGACTCCTTACCCAAATTCTCCCAGTCCCACTTGCTGTTGATGTTCTTGCTGCCCAATTTTTCCCTCTTTATTCTCCCCTGCTTATCCTGTCCAGATTTTATAGTGCCCTCCTGATCACAGGCTAGTGATCGTTGTCTTCTTCTGTTCACCCAGGACTATGGATACAAAAACTGTCAGCCGAACCTGAGATTGTCTGTTCTCTTCCTTTTGACTCCTTAAGTTCTCTACTCAGGATTTGTCTCTGACACCTGAAATGCTAACCCTTCTTATAGGTGCTGGAAGGGGTCTTTATCCTAGTCTTGATAACAGAATGTGGCCACTGTGGATAGACTATGACATAGTCCTAGAGGCCTGTGGCTGCTGAGGTGATGGGTGAGCCCACTGTTTTTTGTGTTTAAGTTTCTGTGCAAGAAAACCTTTAAAAAAAAAATCATTCAGGTCACATTGGTGTCAGTGTAAAACCTTTATCTAGGAAAACTTTTGTTAAGAGTTTTGTTTGTTCTCATCTGCTTTGGCTGTTAGTTTAGCTATTACCAAGAGATGTAAATGATATGATGGTATTAAGCACCTGGCTCTACATGAAGGCTAGTGGATCTTATGAGTCCAGCAGAATTTTGATGGTTTGGATGAAATGAGGAAAGTTCAGAGAGGTAGGGCATTTTCTAGGAAAAGAGAACATTCTACCATGTCCTGGTGTGAGATGGGAGACAGGTGTGGTCATAGGGAATATGATATGCATGAAAGGGAGAGAGAAAAACTAAAACCACTACCGATGATACATCTGGGTGTGATGAATATTTTTCTTAACTAAATTGAGTTGAGTTGCATGGTGAGATAATTCTTCTTTTGGCAATGATATAAAAAGGCTGAGGTCAAGTGAGGACAGAAGTTCATGGAGTTTTATTATATCATTGTGTTTACATGGTTATTAGCATATTACCAAAGTTTCAAGAGGTGATCCAGGTTCAGGAAGCATTCAGGGAAGGAGAAATGGTTCTTTGAGGCAATAAATAATGACAAGAGAAATAAGTACTGAGAGATATAGTGATAAGAGTGGATTGCATGAGATTTTGTCCATTGTGTGTTCCCTTTTCCCTGTGAAGGCTGTAATGTGGGAAAGTAGGATCTATAGGAACTGTAACAATTATATGGTATTTTTTGTTGTTACAAGAGTCCACTTTGGCAGTTGGGAGCAGTTGGGCAGGTAGAGTAGCTACAGAAGATAGGAACAAAAAAAACAATAGGTAAGCCTAACCATTAGAGTGTACAAGAGGGGGAATTTTAGGGAAAAATTCTGGATTTTTTTTTCTTGAGATAGAATCTTGCTGTGTTGCTGTCTTAGTTACTTTTCTTGCTGCTGAGACAAAATACCCAACACCCAAAGTTAAGAGGGAAAAGTTTAACTCACAGTTTGTAGAGGGTTTAGTCCATAGTTGGCTGGTTCCAAGGCAGTGTGGCATGGCAGAGGGGCATCACAAAGGAGAAATAGTCCATGGCAAAGCAGGGCAGGGAGAAGGCAGCAAGCAGCAAGCGAGTGACAAGTGATGACCCTAGGCCTCTTCTCCTTATATTTTAGCCAGGCTACCAGGCCTTAGAGTGGGTAGCACTCACACCCAGGGTGGGGCACCCTTAATCCTACTCAGAACTATGCCAAACCAATCAGTGGATTAATTTAGTAATCACACACCCTTGATCCCAGCATCACATTCTAGATCCAGCCACCTCTGAAAAGCCCCATCTATGACTGCGTGGGGCTTTTGGGGGGCATCTAGACACAAGCCATAAGCATTTCTCAGGCTGGTCCTAAACCCCTGGGTTCAACTGATCCTTCTGCCTCAGCCTCTTGAGTAGCTGGGGCTACAAGAGCATGCCATTGTGTTTGATGTGCATGTGTACATCGTGTGTGTGCACACGCATGCATGTGAGTGTTCTATAGAAAAGTTTTGGCTTTTCACAAGCTAGCAAGTCAGAGCCGAGCATGGTGGTACATGCCTGTAATCCCAGCACTTGGGAGGCTAAGACAAGAAAACTGCCATGAGTTTGAGGCCAGCCTGAATTACAAAGCAAGACCTTGTCTCCAAAAAAAAAAAAAAGCACTTAGGTGGTGTGCAATTTTTCAGTGTAATAAATAATCCTGTTATAGATACTCTGATACATAAGGCTCATCCATCTAGTCAGTATGTGCATTCATTTTTAAAATATCTATTAGGAGCCTACTTGGTGGCACAGACTGATCAAGTAGAGAGCATGTCAAAATTTCTGCTTTCTTGAAGCTCACAGCTTGGCAAGAAAGACAATAAAAAAGTGAACACATAGACAATATAATTTTAGGTGATAATAAATGCTGTGAAAATCCATTAAAGCAGAGGAAGAGAGTAATGAGGTCAAGAGAGAGGTATTCCATGTAGAATCATCTCTAAGAAGACACTTGAGCTAAGACCTGAATAATGTGAAAGTGTGAACCATGTGATTTGGGGAGAAAAACATGAAGGCAGAACAAATAATAAGTGTGAATACCCTAAGACAGAAATGAACTTACCAGGTGCAGTGGTGGAAACCCTATGGCATGCGTGCCTCAGCTGGCTGTTTGTTATCACTGAAACCTCTAAAAGGTTTGCCACCATTGGTAGAGATTCAGCAAGAAGGCCCTTGTGGCCAGCAAGGTGATTTATGCCTGTAATCTCAGTATTTGAGAGGCTGAGGCAGGGGGATCAAAAGTTCTGTGACAGCCTGGGCAACTTAGTGAGACCCTGTCCCATTCATAGACAGATAGATAGATAGAAAGATAGATAGACAGATGGATATATAGATAGATAGATAGAACTGAGATAGTACTAGGGATAGTTCAGTGGTAGAGAGTATGCAGAAAGTATGCACAAAGCCTAGTATACAATATAAGTAA